CACCAAACGGCTTGTATAGTGCTAAATTATGCCTATTTAGTCGAGAATATCTGGTAATATTTCTTTAAAAGCTATAAAACTAGAAGTAATACTTTTAAATATCGCCGTGACAATATGCATATCGCGTCTTATCTTTATGTTCTTGCTTTAAGAGATGAATCAATTTAGCAATCATTGACTTAATATTTAAACCACATTCACAAATTTTATGATTTTATCTTACTTTTTAATTGGATAAAATTCAAACTACAAATTTAGTATATTGAATGGAATTGAACATTTGATAGGAGTCTAAGTGCAGTCAGGGATTGCTAGACCCATATTTACTCACTAGCACAGCTAGTTAAGTTATATCAGAATTATTGACGTCTTGAAATTAATTTATCTTAATGAGTGATTGATATTAATGTAGAGAAAATGTATGTCATGCATCAGCAATGTTCCTTTTCAGTATAATTTTGCATGAAATATTTAGCATCTTGGACTGTTACTGGTTGTAACACCCTGTCATTTCCATTTCTTATTAGTAAGCGTTAATTACTTCTAGTGCTGTGTTAACAGAATTTTAAACTAGACGACGTTAGTTGAAAGTTTTCGAGAACGATATCAGAGGGAAATGATGCAACAAAATTCGAACAATATCAACAATAGAAGTACAGAAATAGTGTCAGCTGATTATAGAAAAATAAGCCTTGATAATTAAATCATGATTAAGCTAAATCAATTAGTAAAGCAATGTGGTCAATAGGGATAAAGAAGTTAGACCGGATGGTCTATTGATGATTGTTAGTGTATGATTGATAATCATCGCAGTAACCAAGTGGCATTAGTAAAGTATAGAGATGCTATTGATGTCTCACCATGTGGGAATTCTATTTTCCCACCGAGTATTAATTTCAATTAAAACTATCGAATGAGACGACTGGAATAAACTAATTAGGATACATACAATGCCGATAATAATGATTGAATGGAGTTGATCCATCCGCAGAATGTAATTACATCATGTATGCTTTCTATCCAGCATGGTTATCACTATCTTTACAGCTAATTTTGCTGTAACTGACATCGGATAGAAAAGATCACAAAGAGATAAAAACTAGTAAATACTAAGATAAGCTTTGCCTCTGCTTTTGAGCCGCGTATGTGCTAAAGACTGGTCGAAATTACTTAATATTAAATATTATTTTGAGAACCAAAATCTAAACCGTACTAATTGATACCTGTCTTATTAGACGATTAAAGTATATTTGAAAGAAATTCTCATCCCGATCGCCATCAATACTCATTTCAATCGTGATATTTTCATTTTTTATTTATCGAATAAACCTTTTAAAGATTTTATATCATGCAAAAGATGTGATGGTTGGCATTTTAAAATAATATTAAATTAATCACGTATTAAATTGAGACATGTATGGATAAAGAAAATAGTAGACATAAAGTTTTAGTATCTTACTCCGCCTATTATACTCTTTGATCAATCTCCACCCATCACAGAAAGATAATATAATGCTATTCTCATCAAAACCATCATTATCTCGTTGATAACAAGTGGAAAGAAATAATAGATTTAATTAAAGCTGGGAATTGTTACATTTGCCTCCGTTTCTACAAAAAAAACTATTAAATATCAGATTCCTTTTTACGTGAGATGATCATATTTGATTATCTAATTACTCTATATTAAACATAGAGAAAAATAAGAATGCTACCTTTAATATAGTAAAATTAGGCCCTAAAATATAACATCAAATAATAATTATCAAATGGTAACGATGAGAATCTGACAAATGGTTCTTGCCTAAATATTTGCTCGTAATCACAATTAACCTTATAGATGATCATCTAATTGTTAACTGCTAAATATAAGATACGCTACACTAAAACATTAAAGCAGCATTCTTATTCGCGAGATCATGCGATTGGATTTTGAGAAATAATAGAAAATTTAGTGTATTGGAGAGACAACATATATATGAAGTAAAATTCGAACTAAAAATTTGGTATTGACGTTACAATTCTAAAAATGGTTGGATAAAGCGTCATAGATCGAGCATCGTATGTCTTTCATGTTGTAATATGCAAGATACTATGATTAATGGTGATCGGAGAAAGGTTGATTAAAATTATCATTTCAACTATAGAGAATTAGAATGAAGCGGATGATTATAATTTAATGCAGGTTTATCTATCAAATGCTTAGAAAATATTCTTAAAATAATTAAATTTTAATTCAATCCTTGCTATGATGAAAAATTTAAAACACCGCATTCTTTTTTTCAACATCAATTAAAAATTAAATTAAAAGATAAGCCAGTAAATCAGTCTCCAAGTGATACTTTTCTTCACTTTAGTTCAAGTAAAATAAACACATAGCTCTTCCTACTATTCTGTCAACAAGGTGGCAAAACAAATCAATTACAAAGCAATAATTGATTTACTATTTGCTTGGTACTGTCTGCATACCTGTCAAAAATTATTATAATTTATTTCTGACTTCAAATAATTCAATATAGTACATTTCTTTGCATAATCATGATTACTTTTTGAGTAAATAGTAAATGGATTAAAGTTTCTAATACGATTTAGTTATTCATCTCTGGTTTTTACTTTAATAATGAGAAGCATAATGGTGCTACTGAAACCTTTTGATTGCATCAAGATATAAATATATATTATAAAGGTGAATTATTTATAATAAGAAGATGATATGGAAAGATAGGGATGAGCTTTAGACTGATTTCATCAGCATACTTTATGATATTTTCTTTCATGCAATGGGGTAGGAAAAATATCGATTGTTATTCATAACTAAAACTTTATGTCATTCTAGCTCGTAGCCTGCTTATTCATTTTTGCCTATTCTTTTTGCTTTCTAGTTTGCCGATGATACTGTCTAGTCGTCGCTCAAAAATTGAATAACTATATAATATACTACTCTCTCTAGGGAATTATTATTTTAATCTTAAGCAATACACAGTTTGCATTAATTTAAAATGTTTATCAGTCGGATGACAGCAACCCATTTCAAATTTGAACATATTGATACACTGATCGCTTGAAGATTGTTTAATCAATTGATCTATGCGCGTTATCAGACGATATTAAAGATCAATTGCAGATGATGTAACTTCAATATAATATCAGTTTTCGATTTACACCTTAAACAGTCATAGAATTACTTCCTTTAAATTTTCCTTCAATACAAGTATTAACATCTCGAAATTACCAGCAACTAACCCATCAAGAGGACTGATTAGAAACTGCTGAATGAAACAAGATAATCTTTTATGGTCGATTCGGTTGTGATTGAATTGCCCACCCTCGCTCATTCATCATTTAAGGCAAAATAGAATGAATTAACTATTGTAGATTATGGATGATAACTTTATATCCATTTTATCGATCAATAATATATATACAGAGCGTTTGAGATGATTGCTTGATTGAAGACCAATTCTTATTTATCTTCTATTTAATATTGGCCAACTGCTCCTGAATGTATTTATGGCAGCCATGCAACCTGCCTTATTCTCATGATGCTAATGATGATTGCTGATAAAAATTAATAGCTTCACAGTTGAATAAAGAATAGTTCACATAGCTTACTTGGAAAAGAAAAATGTGTTATTCAAGTTGTTTATCGATTGTTTGAAAATTAGTATGATCATCGCTCTAAAATTAGAAAACAGTGAGATAACAATGACAGAAGGAAGTTATATGATCAGTTCTACTGAGCACGAAGATCTACTTTACGTGGGAAATGTACTCGTAAAGTCATTTCAACTTCTAGTATTACTTAAGTAGCATTTTTGGGGGTATTTTTCTTCATGTACAGTCTATCAAGTTGATCGAAACTTGACTTAACTAACTATAATAGATAGCACTATTAATTGATATCCAATAGTGTCAGCAAGATGGAGTATAACATGTCTATTATATTTTTCCAACCCAAACTGTCTATTGCTATTATCAACATTACATTGAATGTCTTGTCTCATTTTTTAATACGTCTAATCTTCATTTGTTAGGTTGAAATAACATATATCATCATTCTATTCAATCATCAAGTAATAACAACTGGACTATCTCTATTCAATTAGTCTGATGGCTATTCATGACAACGATAGACCTATTAATCCATCATCATTATTCCTTCATCTCCATAATAATAGCAGATAATTTTTAGCCATGTTGTAGCTTTACATGATGATGTCTTTCATGCCTTGAACTCATGGGATCTATTGTATGTCTATTATCCAAATGATAGTATTGTTTGATCTTTAAGTTATTTGTTGGTTCAAGGCACCCTGGTGATTTGATGATATTGGACAAGAAGTTAAGGCATACTGTCTATTGGAAATTAATACACATTTTGTCTTCATGGGGTGCTGAGGGTAGGAAATCAATGGGGGTGTGAGTGATCAAGATAGAAACTGAGAAAATAACTTAAATATACCCATACAATCAGTATTACAAAGTGAAATAACAGATTAAACTTGTAATAATAATTCCTATCAACAATTAACCGACTGTTCATCATACAGTTAAAATGCTGAATAGAGGACAAAAGACAAGCCAAAGAGGTGGGGGGGAATTTAAATTAGTTCAACGATTGCAGACCACATTGAAAACAGTCGGCTATACTTACCACCTTATGACAAAGGAAAAAGAACAGCAGGTAGAAAGCCTTTAAATGAGTCAACTGTAAGGCGTATTACCTCAGTTACTTTCATCGCTACATCAAGTTCACATCGATCAATATTGCAATTTACCATACTTTTACCTACTTCTCTATTTTTACTAGATTGACTAACTTTTCAATTGCTGTATTAGTACTATTCCAGTAGGCATCCTTGAACTACTTTTTGGGATAGAGTTGCAATCATAGCCGAAATTACTTTTTTTATGCAACAAATTTGCCTTGTCCATCGATAGTGTCTTATCGTAAGTTATTTGCCCCTAGCAAAATTTCATTACAACTATTTCTTAACATAATGACAGAAGATAGTCAGGAGAGAAAGCAAAATGCCTTTTCCATCAGCAATTTACTTTCCAAGAATCCAGCATGTCATAATGATGCTCATGTAGCTAAAGACAATTATCCAAGTCGTGATGGTAGTGAATCACCTGGAGATGAAGATAGTTCAGATTCTTGTTCCGTTGTATCATCCGATGGATCACCATCACAAGAAAATCAACTTGAAGGTAAATAATGTTTCATAAATTCAATTGACCAAATATTTATTTTTCGTCGTCATTTGAGCTATTTTTTCAAGTTGATACTTTATTTGATGAAGTGTTATCGCATTTGATCCTCGATTGCATACTCTCTTTGATAGCTAAAAATTTAGTTCAATATCCATTATTGAATTTCGTTGACAAAGAAAGTAGCAGATTATTGCTGCTGTTATTAGTACTGAATCTTAGTTTATACTTCAACTAACAGTAATAATAGCAATTCTTTCCGTTTCCATATTGCTCGTATTTGCTAATTCTCTCTCAACTGACTGACAATCTACCCTATTGAATTAATCGACTAGAAGGTCGTCGACTATAATAGCATTAGGCTATTCTTGATTCTGATTACTAAAGACATCTGCATTATTTCCAATTAGGTCATGAATATTAATAATGTTGCCATATTAATCAGTCGTTAAAACTGCGTTTGTGTTAGAATTAAAGACTGAAACAATAGCTTTGACTTGATGACACAAGTTTCGAGTATTTCACCATATTCTGTCATTAAGATAATCCACTTAGTAAATTACTATTTTTATTATTTTAATCTTAGATTAACGTCATCGTTGTGTCGATAATTTACTTTATCCAATTTTATTTAATTAATTATTTGCAGGAAGACCATATTTTCTCCGTAACATAATTCAGTTAATTTGCGGATCGAATAATTAGCATAGGATTTCAATCTTATTCGATCATTTCAATCTGAAATCAATCACTTCTGACCAGCATCAGTAGAAAATGGTAATCATCATCGATGATTTGATCTAGAGTTATCGGAAATAGTTAAATATTAAATAAGAGTCGAAATTGTAATAGCATTTGCCAATTTATCCTAACTCTTACCCAACTACGGTAATAAAAACTGTACAGGGTAGAATCAATCGACCAAGATGACAAATATAATTTTTATTTATCAAATAAATTAAAATCTATCAAACCGCAAACAGTAAAGAATTATCCGCAGCTTTCTCGATTATTCAAACTAAGATATTTTATTTACCACTGAAATAATCCTAATCCATGCGAAATGGATGTAAAAGTATTGTTCAACCACAATAAAAGCTTAGTGGAGTGTAACTTGGAATGAAATTGATTCTTGCGCAATTATACTCTATATTACTTTCATCGCCTTTGTGATACTAACGAATCTTAAATTCATGCTATATGACCACCGCGATTAAACGTTCAATGTCCTATAATACAGATTAATGTTAATAACTCGTCAATTCGCATAAATTTTGAATCAGGCCTCATCTATCTTTACTATCAATTCGCTGATTGATTAGATTAGATTTTGTTTATAAAAATCTTAATGACCAAGTATTGATATGATGCGTACAATTTTATCCTTTCTTCGACTTGAAACAAAAGTTGATTACAATGAATAAATTATTTTAAATAGTTTGCTGATTAGATCTTATTTTGATTTTCTTTTTACTTTTAATTTTTCTACTTCGATACCGTTTACGACAGGAATCGGAAATATTTACTTAACTTTGATTTTTGATTACTAACGATAACATCTGTTCAATTATCTGAATTAACTGCGACATTATGATTTTATTTTACGGCAAAAATTTCCAGAATCTCTTATTGATTATTTGTTTATCCTGGAAACGATATTATAAGATTGAGAAAGAAAATTTATTTATAGATTCTAATGATAGGCCGAATACACTATACAGTATCAGTATGAACACAGAGTCAGAAAATAGGACTTATGAGTCTCTTAGCGTACAAATATAAATTAGATATCTTATATATATATATACAGTATAGTGCTATAACATTTCATGAAATCTTTATAACGTGCGCAAACCAGAAAAAAAATAGGGAGGCGTAGTTTCTCTGCAGTACAATTGTTTCTTATTCCCAAATTTTCTTGCCTGAAAAAAATTTCGATACGATTGTCAATATCGTCATCATTCCTGAGTTTTGGCGCTATATTGTTCAATTATATCGATCTGATCTAAGCCTTTGACAATATTTTGTAATGGCTGAAATTGGCGATGAAATGCTGTATTTATTCAGTAATGGATAAATCTTTTTTCAACGCAATACCTTCGCTAAGGCAGTATCTGTGAACGCTTTTAGTCTATAGCAAGTCTTAAAATGTTTAGTTCAATATGCGTAGGAATGACTATGACCTTTAATGCCGTGATGATTATTACATCAACACTAATTATATACAGATATAGCTAAGCTTACCAACATTATTCCAATGGGCTAAAATACTTTCTTTAAATTTAACCATTAGGTAAACCTAATGGCCAAGGCCATCATCGCCATCATCGTCATCATGATCATTCTTCTCAATCTAAAAAATTAAAAAAGAAAAATAAGAAAAAGAAGACCAGAACTGTCTTTTCACGAACTCAAGTTATTCACTTAGAAGCAACATTTGATCAAAAGAAATATTTATCATCAGCTGAACGCGCTGGTTTAGCTAATTTGTTATGCTTAACGGAACAACAAGTTAAAATTTGGTTTCAAAATCGCCGTAATAAATTGAAACGTCAATTAGCCGAGATGAAAGCAAGTAATATGATGACATTAAGAGCACAAGGTTTCAATAATGGTGTATCACCAGTCTATTATCAAGAAAGAACGCCAACTGGTATTAGCATGTCCAATGCTGAAATTATTCGAACACTACCTCAGGCAGCATTACCGCATCCATCACCAATCCATTATCCTCAGGCTCATCATTTACCTCATCATCCACATCCACTTTCTTTTGCTTCAATGGCACAACTACGCGCTATGATGATGTAAAATGATCGTCATTTCCTATTTTGGTAAAGCCAAAGAGTAATGGGTACTAAGAATGTCGAATATCACCACAATTCCTGGTATGGTGGTCTATGATGAGAAAGAAATCTTCACGCTCTAATAAAGCCTCACGTTAAATTAATCATCGTTATGCCATCTTGTATCCCCTAATTTTCAATCACTGCATTTCTTGCTTATAAAATATATATTAGTAATAATATAATAATTCATTGGATAGATATAAAAATTTCAAAACTGAAAGAATTGATCGTATTTATTGCAAACAACAATTCGTAATTTTAACAAGATCCATATCTATTTGTTGTTAGTGACTGCTCAGATTAATCGTATGATTGAATCTAATTTATTGCTTTCAAGTCCAACTATCATAACGTAAACAGAATTTGTTCTTATGTTGATTAAGGACAAATTTGATAAAATGTACAATTTAGGAATTTAGGAATTCAGCCCAATTTGTTATAGCCTGATATTTCGATTAGCTATCTTTGTTGTATTCTAAGTTGCTTTCGATGAGTTAACCGATATATCTTCTGCCTTATCTAATTTAAAGAGGTAATTTTTAGTCAAATGATAGACTATTGGTTTTATTTATAACTCTGTTCTACATTTCACGATACTTATGATTGATATTCCGTTGCTGATTCGCTAACTCACTGGTTCATTTATTTAAAGCGTTGTAACATACAGTCTCCATTACTCCTCTCCACCTTAACAATTTTAAAATTATAGACACAAATATTTACCTAGCAAATAGTAGAAAGTTACAAAGGGCAAACATCACTGATGGTGTTAAGGATAGAAATTGGTTAAATTGACTGATTTTCAATATAAGCTATTGCACGCCCAAGATAAGATATTAGTTGATAATATCAGTCTGTAAGAGGTTATTATATTAAAACTGGATTGGAAATGAACGTCATATTTATATATCGATATAAATTAAAAATATTAAAAAGAAAGAAACAATTCCTTCAGCAATAAACTAAAATGCACTTAATCTTGATTTAAAAATATCACCAAATTAATCAATAAAATTCATTCAATTTGAGCTTTGGAAAATTTTGCCAAGTGTCTATTTTACACGATAATGACTTAATAAATCGTTTTTAATAGGATATTTACGGTAGCAGTATCAACTAGTTGACGGCTTCGTCCGTATTTTCACTAATTTGATGATTGCTGATGGCACGCTAGCTTTCCTGCTCTCATTACTAATAATTTTTTAAGTGATAGCCCCTACGCAAGTAAAGAAAAAGTACTATTAACAGTTTACGATATATCACCCATAAATTTAATAGGGCTCTACCCTAGTATTTACGGCAATGCCAATAATTACGCTATTTGAGTCATCATAAATGATGACTATTCTAAGAGAAAGGCTTTTCGACGCTATCCCAGAGCAATAAAAAATGTGAATACTTGTAATAATTTAGTGGTAATGCATTCTATAATTAATCATCCCTTACTAATCTAGTGTCGCAGCCAAGATAATTCTAGTCGAATCCTTAGTTCTATGGCAATCTCATTTTTATTCATATTTGCTATGGTAAGGATACGTGAATATAGCTAGTTCTATCCATAAGCAGGTAGCATACACAAGATTTAAACCCTTCATTGTTCTATTTATATTTTAAATGTTACGCATTCAATATTATCAGATTTAGAAGTGATTGGGAATCAAGTTTCTGCTGTCTTATTTTCGGAGCCGCCAAACATGCAAAATTGTAATATAATATGGTTGGTCCCATAATCTAATTTTTATTTATGTATGCGCGAAAGATGAGTAAGGCCATGCCGAACATCTACTTTTCCTACTTTCTGTACCTCATCTATCCATTTATAAGCGTTAATGTTCTGATCGTAAAATGAAATTACGATATCTCCGAACCGTATAACTAAGCCAAGTTTATTAATGCTAATAAAGTATTAAAATATGGATAACTTGTAAAGTATTTTTCATGGATCCTTAGGACCAACATTATCTTGATTTTGAGTTACTTCCATTTGAAGGGGAAAATAATAGTCTGTCTATGTGTAATCATTAGTTGTAGACTACTATATCGCTATTCAAAAGTTGGAAAAATTAAGTACTTTAATCCAACAACTTTGATCTTCTATTGATGCCGGTATTATTTTCGTTCGCTGATTGTAATAGATGTCACAACATTTAAATTTGATTCAAATTGGATGATAATGCATCAAAATAGGACCAAGACGGTAGAATATTTTTCTATCCTATGCATTTAGGATGATTGATTATCTTATTCTCTTCAATGCTCAATGGCGTACAAGAAACAATAACAACTTGTCTCCTTCTTTTTGGGATTAGAATGCGGTCGCAACTATGAATCAACGACTCAATTTTTGCTTTCTTCATTACTTTCTAACGTATACGTTACAGTTTTATTTTAATCTTTGTTGTAATAATTCTATGGTGGTCTTTAATGATTGTTAATACGAATTCAAACAGAAATGATTAAGCCTCGATTGATATCGTATGCCATCGTCTTCAATTGTTTTCTATAAAGAATAACTTACTAATGTTCAAGAATTATGCTATGAACAAGTGTTATTGAATATTAAAAGTGATAAATCATCGTATAGGAATGTAAAAATGAATGAAAATTTCTTTCATTCTGCTTTGATTTGTTGATATTTTAGAACCTGAATGTACCATCATTGATTCAAGATATTCAGGTAGATGTGCAACTTAGAGTACTAATGACTACCATTAAAAAATCTCATGTATTGAGACGTTCAATTTATTTCAAGGCTTATGAGGATATTTATAAAAAATTTTGAATGATTCCAATAAGGTAGACTAGCTAGTATCTAATCATATCTGAAGAGATCGGCTAGTAAACAAACTATAGAATTTGGTTATCAACTGACGATGGAGTGATTAGTTTCATATTAGAAAGCTGATCCATTGATGCATTCTACTGACTAAACTATAAAATTTAGTTATTAACTGACGAATAGGCGATTTGTTTCGTATCTGAAAGATGATCTATTAATGAAAGTTATTGAATAAACTATAAAGTTTGGTTATAAATTGACAATGCAGGGATTTATTTCATATTAAAAAGCTGATTCATTGATGTTATCTCCTGACTAAATCTATAAAATTTGGTTATTAACTGACGATTGAGTGATTAGTTTCATATTAGAAAAATGATCATTAATATAATTTACTGACTAAAACATACATGCAATGGATTATTAGCTGATCTATTGATGGATTTTACTAACTATTAGATTCAAAATGTAATCATTGAAATTTCTGTAACGTTAAGATAGAATCCAATCGGATATTTCCTTCTGCAATTTATGGTAGACCTTCACTCGTATTTTACATTTTATCTAGGTGTCTACAAATGATATCGTAACTTATAATACTGGAACTCGATTAATGATAGAATAAACAGCGGAAAAACTTTTAATCAGGAACTTCCTATTACCAACACCTCTTTTTTGGCTAACTGAATGCAATTCAAATAACTTAGCATTGAAATGGCTAATTATTGAATGGAATCAATCAATGAAAGTTATTTTATGTAATGAAAGCGTAAATAATTCTCACTTTTATTCCTATTTTACTTTATTGACAAGGATAGAGGATCCTCTCATTTACTCTTGATCCATCTCATCCAATATTATAAAAGTTTCAAAATTCAATTACATTAGCCGTGATAAAAAATTAATTTTGAATGCTGTAAATTAATTCAAACAATATTGATTAGACATTTAGATTGATTAGATTATGATTCAATTTCATCAGCAAGATGATAATCAGCTGTCATCAAGATAGTATTATATATTAAGGGTTTGATTCAGACGCTATTTAAAATTAACCTTGAATGCTGTAAATTAATTAGAAATACTTTATGATTGCTGCGCTTGAGTGAACAACGACTGTTTTTTTTTTCATTTATTTAGGAAAAGAATAAAACTTGTGGGGAGCATAGCAACCAAGTCATAATCAGGACTAGCTTTGTCTTTAATTAGCTACGTGTGATGCATAGGGATTTAGGTTTGATCGCACTATCAGCAACGCTCCTCCCTGTCTGGTCAGTAAATCAACATGAAAGCATAGTGCCGGTAGTAATAGATGCAGCATTAAAATTGATTGATATAAGTAAGCCCTTGTTTTCCTATTCATATAGAATAGTTATACACATGGGAATGTAAAATCTCACTTAAAACTGCCAAAAAATAATAACCTACAGTATTCTATTTCTTAATTAGTTCGATGATTAGCATTACGAGCAGTTATTATAAGTAAAGCGATGCACAAACAGGAATAAGTTCAAGGTTATACTAGCTAATAAACAGATCTAATTAAGTACAGCAGTAGTTGGAATATGAAATGTGTTTATGTCGGTTAAAGGGAAGTAAATAGTTCCAGATCCAGAGGTTTGATATATTCCAGAATTGCAGAGTAAAAAATCCACATTATTATGCCTTACTGACGATAAAAATTCGAAGTCATTAGTTGATAGATATACGAGTAAAAATGATTAAAGGTTCATTGAAGTTTAGCCTACCGAACTATTCCTTGCATCACTTTATTTATCACTGGCTTGGAGCAATGTTCATAATATGTTACTGCACTTTTAATTTATTGAGTACATTATTTCTAGGACGTACGTGTTAGAAGGTTATCTAGGGAATAGTTTGAATGATTTATTAATAAATGAAATCGAGGAGTCTAATAGTCGGCAAGTCATTCGTTGGCAAGAAATGATTTTGACTGCTAAAGTTATATTACATACATACAAGCGAAGTATAGAGAGTAAAGCATATGAAACATTGAAAAAAAAGTTTTAAAGTTAATTTATTCTAAGCTCTAGCCACTAAAAGTGTTACAGATCTGAAGTGATCAAGTTTTAACAATTATCGAGCATAGCTAATTAAAATATAAACTACTAGACATACTAGTGCTAACATGGTCAAGTTGTAGCATGTATCAAATGAACCTA